TTTTTTTTTTTGACATAAGAAGCAGATTAACTATAATTACTGTTCGGCCAAAAGTCGATTTTTGCTAGGACAGATGATGTTAGGATGCGGAATAGCGAAAACTAATCGACTTTTGTAGTGTATATGAAGCTGATAAACTTATTGTTTTATAGTTCATTAAACTTGGCTTAAAACAACTGTTTTTATCGTTGCTGATCCACTGAAGCCGGTGCTGCTTGCTATTTACTGAATTACTGTCTACCTGTAGTCTTGAAAATTTTTTGTTAACAATTTATCAACTAAGAAGCTGCTGTCAAAAAACCAACGATGTTGTCGTCAATGCGAAACCTTGCCGTCCGAACCTCTCGACTGATTACAACAGCAAGCTTTAGGTGTACACTGATTTTCTTCTCATTTTTTCTTTTGTTTCCTTAAATTCCATCCTTGTTTATTGCTAAATACACTGGTGAAGTATGTGGAGAATCTGTAGAGATGTAATTGAATATATTTAAACAATCGGAAAACTACAATATACCGAAAGATGGCAGTAACAAAATTTGTGACTGGCAGTATGGTTCAGTTTGATCGTAGTAAATCAGAACAAAATACAGTTGAAAGGGTTTTTTTAGAATCCTTCAGAAGTTGAACGATTTTTTCCCATTCTTCTCTTTATTTTTTTTCCTACAGTTTTTTTTTCCCCGTTAGGTTTCCATCGTTGTTCTCTTTTACACAGTTTCTTTTAACATATTTTATCTTGCAAATTAAAAGCAAAAATTGATTGCCTACTGCGTTACTGGCATTTGGTAAACATAGTTTGTGGGCATTGGCATACGTTCAGTTTAGAACATCGTAAGGCAAACCCTGAAAAGAAAAAAGCTAAAAATAACGTTGTGTTGCGACAGTAAAACTTTAACCTGTTTGCTACCTGAACGGCGCTACAGTTAGCCTAGTAGCCTTAATACTCAGTCTGTTTTTTTTTTCCGCTCTACTCCTCCAGCTACTGGTTTAATTGCTTTCAGACAATTGTCATGGTTTTTACGTAAGTTAAGCAACTCTTATACATAATCTGCCTAGCAATTTACTTTTTGATAATGAAAGCTGAATGCTTTCGCCATTGCTTAATATGAGAAACATTTTTGACTTTTTTCATGGCAACAAAGCTGAACTAAGTAGCTATAAGTTATACTGTTAATGTTGTTTTTGGACTGATAAGTTTTACTCAATTTTTATTATTCAGTGGAACTGGATTAACATCGGAACAGTTTATGAAAAAGCCGCAAAATGAGCCTACGCTTACCTATAAAAAAGGAAGCGAAGAACGTAAAGCGTTAGAAGAGGCTTTAAAAGAGATGTCCGAACAAACCTTTGAAGTTCCAGTAGTTATTGGAAAAGAAAGAATCTATAATAACCTAGACGGAAAGCAGCTTGTGGTTAGTTTGCTAACTGCAGTTATCTTTTCAATATTCATTAAGGAATTTTGGGTGTATTTTTGTCTCTGAGAATCTTGCACTACTGTGAATAAAGAATTTATCGGTTTCATGATTATTACAGCCTACGGACCATCAGAAAGTGATTGCTCGTTATGCAAATGCCACTGCTGAGCAGATAAAACATGCTATCGATGTCGCTCTTGAAGCTCGGCACGAATGGGATCGCAAACCAATGAGGTATAGGTTCTCTAAAGTATAAATTATTGATTTTTTATTCTTATCTTAGTAGTAATTTTGGAAAGCTAAGCAAGTATTACATTTCTGCTAAGTCTAATTGTGTTAGACAGTATTAATTTTACACAGGGAGAAGACAAAGAAAGAATTGTAGTTGGTATTTCTAGGGAACGCGCAGAAATCTTGCTTCGCGCAGCTGACCTCTTAGCCGGAAAGTATCGGATGAAGGTGAACGCAGCAACCATGCTTGGTCAAGGCAAGAATATTGTACAGGCAGAAATTGATGGGGCATGCGAACTCACTGATTTCTTCAGGTTTAACTCCATGTTTGCTCTGGGATACGAACAGTACCAACCAACGTCTACACCCACTTCTAAGAACTCCATGATTCTCAGGTTTGTGTTGCTTAATTATACATAAAAATTTTTAGCAACATGATGAATTCTTTTCGAAAACCTGTTGTTTGAGTGAGTCCAATGACGTACTCGGGAAACACTGCTTGATGAATATATTTTTCAGAGGATTTGAGGGCTTTGTTGCTGCCGTCACTCCATTCAACTTCACTGCAATTGGCGGAAATCTTCCAACAGCACCAACTCTTATGGTATTAATTTGTTTTTTTTAATTACTTGGTTTTTCAGATTCAGATTTACTAGTGCCGATTAAGGTTATGTTAATAGCTGTATTCTTGCTTTTTATCCTTAGCTATTGTTGGACAGACTTTTTGTTATAAATTTCTCTCGTACTTTTTAAGGCTTTCTTGGCCGGAATAACTTTGCTTTTCAGGGCAATGTTGTGCTTTGGAAGCCTGCTAGTACAGCAATCCTCAGTAATTATATTGTTTATCAAGTACTTGAAGAAGCCGGTAAATATTTAATTCCCATAAATTTTTTGGAAATAAAAAGTTGCGTATGACGGTTAGTTTACTCTTGTGATGTGTCATGACAGCCAATATTGGTCTTTAAAGCTTGGCCTGATTTAAATCACAAGTTGATGCTAAACTGCCAATCTGCTGTCGCTTTCCAACTTCTAGTAATTTAAATTCAGAAGCCAATTAATCTATGACAATTCATTATAGGCATGCCGCCAGGTGTTATTTCATTTTTGCCATCAAAAGGAAATGTTTTTGGACCAACAATAACAGCCAGCCCACATCTTGCTGCCATCAATTTTACTGGATCAGTTCCTACATTCCAGTGGCTCTGGAAAGCAGTTGCTGATAACATCGATAAATACGTTACATTCCCAAAACTGGT